CCTACACGAGATGAGGCAGGATAAAGAGGGATAATCCCCCTCGATCCCAAATCATTGAGGCCAATTTCTAGCCATAGAATAATGGCGCGCGGCGCGTGTATGTTTTGTGATTGTCAGTTGTCAGTTGTCATCGCGTTGTTTTGTATTGTAGTTTATTTTCAGTTCAGCAAGTTTATGATATGGTGTAATATTTTTTACATAGTTATTTGAAGGATTTATAGAAATTTAAATACCTCTCCAACAATTAATGTCATTACTTTCCTGATAATAAAGTAACATGTCATATCAACTCTACAGAAATACAACTATAGGTCACACGTTACAGGAAAGTTTGGATGAGTTAATACAGGTACAAACAATTTTAGACTTTAATGCGGTACACCTACCTATACCACAAATCACTGCATTGCTGTATAGGAAATTATATTAAATGTACACGTTCATTTTATAGAGAGATGCCCTATTATATGATAATTCATAGAAATACAATGTACTAGATTACCCTATATATTAAAGACTATATTAAATAATGTCACCCTTAGCTTAGAAGAACTTAAACAAGTTGGCAGAGTTTTGTTTCATCACAGTCCTTGGTTTAAAATAATTTTATGTAACCTCACGAGTTTTGAGGTAAAATTATAAAATCATTATTTTAACAAATTTTATAACAAAGAGGATGTATTATCAATTTGGGTAGAATATTGAAATTGAAGATTACGAATTAGTGTCAAAATTTATGTAGTATCTAAAATCACTGAAATAATAGGTGAAATTTTAAGTTTCCACTGCTGTATTTCCTTTGTATAAAATGTATCAGAATTCTGCTAAATAAAAATTATTTTGAAAACATATTCAGACATCCGAAATATAAACAACCATCTTGGGCATCTTGGGTTTATTAAAAAGTGGGACTTAAACATTTCTCTATGTTGATACAGGATAGAATTTTTGTTTTCTGTAATTAAAATAAATAATTTAGTTATATGTTACTGTAATTACAATTTTAATTGTAGTATGGACAAATCACACCACAATTGGCTTGCAAAGTGTTGCTTCAGTTTGATAAATCTATAAATCAGACATTGGCAACAAGGGTTAAATCAAGATTAACTTTCAAAGCAGGAAAATTGAATACATATAGATTTTGTGATAATGTATGGACATTTATGCTTAACGATGTAGAATTTAGAGAAGTACAAGAAATAACTAAAATCGATAAAGTTAAAATAGTAGCTTGCGATGGTAAAAGTGAGTATGATTGATTACATTTGTAAATAAAATATTATTATTTTCTGTTTACAGATGTTAGTGAAGAAGGAAGTTCGAAGAAATAATTGTTTATGTATGTGTATTTTTATGTAAATATGTAGGCTAATTTTTAAGTTATATTAATACCTAGGTGACAAATTGCCAGATGTCGGGTAACAATAATTTTCATTCAAATTAACTACATTTTAATATCGAATAGTTTTATTTTTAGGAAAAAATACTTTCAGTGTACAATTTATCATGGAATTTATTAACCTATATAAGGTATTTCCTGTTTAAACTTGAAATAAAATTAAATATACTACTACTTGTGATATCCACTTGAATTTTGTTGATGTTGATGACCTCAGATTAAATACATATTAATTTTAAAATAAATTTGTTGATATGGGATCAAAAAATTAAAAACATATATAGATACATTAATAATCAGAATATCTTATTTTTAGAAAAAAGTTACATTATATTTTTATAATACGTATATAGTATGTACTAGAATAGTACAGGGTATGAAAGTATAATCTTTAAAAAATAATATAGTTGCAATATTCTATGTACAAATATTACCAAGTAAAATTTTTACTCTGCCCTAAAATGGAAAAGTTCATGCCTAGCGAATATTAAATTCCGTTTTCAATAAATTCAGTATTCTTCCTAAAAATATTTAATAGGGCAGTTTATTTTTCGCCATGTATGTTGGCATCTTGCTTATACCATAAAATAAATTCTGTACTATGGGGATTTTATGGTCCATCTCTATGGAATAGCAAAAGTAATACGAATGAATTCTGAATTTGGTTTAACCCGAAAGTACAGCTGCCGTTACTGATCTATCTATACTATGCATTTACTTTAACATTGATTTTATAAGCACAATATACCTAACACATTTATGATCCGTAATATTACCTGTGTTGTATGTTTTATGGATACTTTCTCATTGTTTTGTAGTGTTATGCTCTTAACCTCTTAATATTAATAACTATTGCAAATAATGTCTAATAATATAACAAAAATTTTAAATTATGAGTGTAAATCGCATCGTTAAAAAAATTGCAATTAATTTTTTTGTGGTTGAATAGGATTTAAATTTGAATACTATTAAACCTTTGGAGTAGGTAACCAGCAATACATAAAGATAAACTGCTTATATTTTGTTGGCACTATTTCTTCAGGACAGCAAGTACTTTTTCTTACTCCAAGTTTGGCCATTTTCATGATGACCATACTGGTGTTAAAAGGTTTTTGAGTGTGCTCGTATAACTATTGTCTATTGTATAGTTATACAGTGTATTTTTTTTAAATTTGACAGACCAACTTTTTTATTTGAAGTGATAGACTTATTTCCAAATGCAAGTTGTAGGAAATGTAGCAAATAATGCTTTCCGGTGCTGCCAGATTTCTTCAATAGCTACTGAAACAATATTTTTTTAAATGGCAACAGCAAGACCGTATTTTTTAACATAATTTGACAAATCCTCAAATTCTAAATAAAAAGTGTTGTCACATTTCTTTATTGGAGTAGCCATTTTAGAAACAATCAACAAAAACATCGAAAATAATCTGTAGTCGGCAGGAAGCTGACATATAGTAGGTCTTGGAAATTATACAAAAATTGTGTTGTTTGCCATCACTATTGTGCTGTCATTGTGTTATTTGACAGCTGTTTATTTGAATGTGTATAAAAATAACGTTTTAATTCAGTTGCTAAGATGACTTTGAGCCTTCTGTGAATCCTTGGGCACACACTACTAATTGATTTTGTTTTAACAAGTAATTTTTTAAAAACTCAGGATTTGGAATAGGCTATGTCTTGCACCTAGTTGAGCGCTCGCATTGCGCAGATTTAAGCCACCAACAATTTCCAAGGCCTACTATTGCCATGTTAGCTTCTTTTAGTTCCTTTTTTTGCTGATTGTTCTAAAACGGCTACTCGAATAAAGAAATGTGACTACATTACTTCATTTTTTATTTAGAATATGTCAATATAAGATTTGTCAAATTAAAAAAATACGGTGTCGTCAATTAAAAAAATATTGTTTTAGTACCTACTGAAGAAATCTGGCAACACCGAAAAGCATTATTTGTAAATTTTTCTTAGTCAAGTTATTTACTACAACCAGGTAATGTTCAGAGTGTTCAGACATGGAATAGTATTTTATTTGTGCTGACACGTCGAGACAACTGGATAAAATTGAAAAATTTGCTTACACTGCTATGCTTATACAGGGTAGGAAAGTACCGATGGTCTATCCGAAGTTACGTGAGAGCGATAAAGTAAGCCATAGAAATCCATGCGATAGAGAAGGATGGCTATAATGAAGGCTTCTCTTAGTCACCGCCCGTTTCGCCCTTTCACAAATAAGATCCACTTATTTGTGGAAGGGCGAAATGGGCGTGACTATTAGATGCCTTCATTATAGCCATCCTTGTCTATCACATGGATTTCTATGGCTTACTTTATCGCTCTCACGTAACTTCTGATAGACCATCGGTACTTTCCTACATTGTATGTCCATGACCATCATCAACACTTTTGCCAAGTCGTCTTCAATCAAAATAGCTGTGCCATTAGCTTCTCCTGAAATTCAAAAGCGCATCGAAGCTGATTTATCATTCTCTCTATATCTTTAGGTGCTTTACTTGTTTGTTGATTGTAAAGCTCCCAGATTAACCGCGCCATTATTCCATGGCTAGAAATTGGCCTCGATGATTTGGGATCGAGGGGGATTATCCCTCTTTATCCTGCCTCATCTCGTGTAGGCCTGGACAGCCTTCGTAGGTGGGCCCCATCCGTCGTCTACCCCGACCGCAAATGCGGCCGGTGTAGGCGCTTTGTGGGACCTCCTTTTGTCCTGGCTGGGCCCCGCCGGCTAGGGCCCTTTCTTCTGGCGCTCTTCTTGCTTCGCCGGCTCGTCTGTGTAAACCCCGGGGGTAGTGTCATGTTTATGTGTGGTATGGTTGGGTAGGGTAGTGCGGCTATGCAGCCTGGGATGCGCTTTGCTAAGGTGGCCCTTAGGCTAGCGCGGGAGGGGAGGGGTAAGGAGGGTATGGGGGGTGTGTATGTGTGTGTGTGTGTGTCGTTGTCTTCGTTTCTTGATCCTGGCTGTCTCTGAAACAGAAAAGGTTAGCGGGCAGGGGGGGGGTCATTGGGGTGGTCACCCAGGGTCAAAAAGTTGGTGTCTAGGTCTTTTGTGTTTGTCGGTCACGTCGGGTACGTAGTCAACGGCTTGCCTGAGGAGGGGATTGTCATGTCTAGCGGCTACGTCAAATCGTTTCTCCGCGTTTTGTCTTATTGTCTGTGTAGCGTTTGTGTATTGTAAGTCTCGTAATATGTCAGTGTTTCTTACGTACCAGGGCGCGTCGGTGGCCGTGCGGAGGGCTATGTTTTCCACATTATTGTTACGATATTTAGGTGGATCGATAATTTTGTTGCGATCCGGTATCGATTCTAAATATCGATACTTTTGCGAGCATCGCACATCCCTAATCGCCAGTGGCGCTAGTTACCCACAAACCAGCGCGAACGCGAGATTCGCAATCTATAAGGGTTTTTTGGCGAGCCAAACCACATCAAACCCGGTTAACTCGAGTTTGATTGTGTTAAGAGTTTGAGTTAACATTTGACAAGCATTTGACAGAACTCGCAAAAATTCTTTTGGTTTGGATATCTAATCAATAATAAAATCGTAACCTATAATCTATGATAGTGCTCGTAGCTCAAGTTGTTTGATTATTTCTTATATACTATAGTTGTTATTCCTAATCTGAAATGCACATCCATGAATAACGTTAATGTATAGATGGTTATTAAATCAACATGTGTTTACCTTGTTCACAAATATTATCTCTTCCAACGTAAATGTATCGTCTAGAAGGAAGTTAATAAAGATCTATACAGTACAATATAGAAAATGCATATCTACGATTAAAGTTATTTGGATCCTCGATTACTATTTTTTTATTATCAATTTTAAATATTACTTTGTATTTTTTGCAAAGTGAATCCATTCCAAATATTTTTATTTACAACTTATACCTATCCAAACCTCTAAAAAAACGAAGTAGTGACTAGGTACGATGGTACGAAACAGAAAATAAATAAACAAAGATAGAAATATTAACTTAATATCCAAACCAACCCACA